TTAACTACTGTTTATTTGCACTGTTTATAACATGCAAAGTTATTTCCTTGTTACTTAACAAAGTGAATTTTTAGTTGTGGTTATCTATGAGTTTCATATTTCGGTAGTTAAAGTACTGTATGTATGTCATTCCTCTACTTTGTTAGTGGAATAACGTTTTTAAAACTTATTTCAACTATCAAAAAATGTTCAATGGCCGTTGTTTTCTGATAATCTCTCAGTACATTATTTGCATCTGTTGTGTAACTGTATGTTATTGATTCAATTCGTGCTTATTACAGTTTTCAAATATTTGAAGATTTAAAAAACAAAATATCATTTCTATTACTGAATTTTTTTATTAGGGCCATTTTTACCTACTTGTCATTTGGGGCCATTTTTACTGGGGCCATTTTTACCGGGGCCATTTTTTCCGGGGCCATTTTTTCCTGGGCCATTTTTTTCCTGGGCATTCTTACCTACATTCATTTTGTACCATACCGATATGACATCAAAATCTATTAGATTTAACCAGATTTTGTTTTTTGAATAGGCCCTACGTACGCTGTTCAGCGTTGGGTACTGATGCACACCGTCTAATCAAGTTACATTACGGGCGTGTATTCGACACGCCCGTAATGTAAAGTATACAAAACCTTTCGAAACGTTTTGTTGTTAGCCTGAACTATTTTATTGCGGGGACCGTCTTAACCTTTAGCCATATACACTTGAAAAGTACTTCATTAATTCAATAACACTTTTTTGATAACAGTTAAGCAATGTAAAAATAAGATAAATTAATCATGGGGATGAACGGTGATTTAACAATTGTTAACTTTACTCAGGGCAAACTAGCCTATGATTGATTTTATACAAATTAAATTTGCTATGATAATTTTATTGATTTTTGAAAATAACATATATTGTATTGTTTTTTTACAATAGTTTTAATATTTTATCGAGAAACTATTTTTTTATTGTGCTTTTTGTATTTTACGCGTGTTACTGTTTGTTTTGTATTTTTATGAGGGCCTGTTTGAGTACCGTTTGAGTCAGCCTAGGCTGTTATAGGTTCCCTAATAAAAGAAAGTTAAACCAATAAATCAATCAATCAAAGCGACTACAGTAATAAGGGTCTTTAAGCAAATAAATGTTACTAAAAGAGTACGTTAATTGATGCTTAAAAATTTCATAACTAAAATGCTATTGTAGTTGGTTGTACCATAGAGAAAATATTCTATTTTCTCTATGGTTGTACCAGGGATTTGTTATAGCATGAATTTCCTTCCTCCATGGTTATAGCGATAACAATTAACTCCCTGCCAATATATTGTGCTCTGGTGCGTGACTACGAATTTCAATCCCGCTATAATCCGGTTATTATGATTAATCATCATGCGTAAAATGAGAGCCGCTCTCTATTATCCAAATGCTGGTTCAAGGCGGTTAGCACCATGGACATGGGCCCTAGTAATAGTAGGTCCATGACTGTTAGAAAGGCCTTTGATTGAGTTAGCTTGAATAATTAGATATGCACTGCACTGCAAACACCTTGATGTAGTCCTTATCTTTACCTTTCTCCATAAAAAAAAATTGTTCAATGGTATGTAAACATCTGGTAGCTCAGGGACAACTAACGTTGTAATGTTCTGTTGTGACCCTATAACCTTTTAATAAGCTAAATTGTAAGTAAGGAATTCAAAATAGAAATATATGTCTAATTACTTCTTACTTGACCTCTCATTTACAACTAAATCTGCGACCAACCATCGGTGATCAGAGTCTAAGGCCCAATAAAAAAAATTATCAGTTTATCACCCTCGCGTGCATGTCTTTTATGGTACTGGGAAAAAAATTTGTTTGAATAAAAAATTTTTTTTCTGAAAAAAAAAATTTTTTTTGAAATTTTTTTTCATTTATTTTATTAAATAGTTAGTAGATATTGTTTGCATTATCTAAATCATGTTTTACTTTGAATATCAATGCACCAGCAAACAACCCAAGGGTGATATTTGGCTTTAGCAAAATAAAAAAATTTAAAAAAAACCTCCCTCCCTCATTACTTTTCCTGCCCAGATAGGGTGATAAACTAATAATATTTTGTATAGGGCCTAAGGTACGGTATCTCATGGAAAGACTTTTACATTAGACAGCAGGCCCGTAGCCAGGGGGGTTTTATGGTTCGGGCGAACCCCCCTTTTCTAGCGAACCCCCTCGAATTTTTGAATGAGTCCCACTCGGACGGAATGTCTGTTTTTAACTTACCTAGCATTAAATCAAAATTTAGCACCTAATTCATTATTTGGTCACCCGTTTTTAAATTTTAGCCTGCGATACAAGCCTACATTCATAGAATATCTCAGCTTCCGAAGTTCGGAGATTTAAATTGAACGCAACTCCAGCAAACCATGACTTTACGATGGCACACATAAGAATGGCAAACATCGATAAAAACCCGGCTGCCGTCTCAACTTTCACTGGCCTTTGGCTGAATCAGCGTGACCATCACAATTTTTGATATACCCAATGACTAGGTCGAACCCAAGATTCAGCAAAAATTGCCCAAAACTACCCAAGCTTAATGAAAATGCATTAAAATTTGAAAAATACGTGTTTTTCGCATGTATAGTTTCCCTTTTATATATAAAGCATTTTTTATTGTAATGGTTTTTGTTAATTATTAAAATTAATATTCATGAGGTAATAATCCGGATAGAAAAATACGCCATCAGTCGGCCAGTGTTATCAGTGTAGATCAGTGATCAAGTTTTATTATATAATGCATTAATTAGGTAAGATCAATGGCAACGCATAATAACCAATTCTGAACCCATGTTTATAGCAATTAACAATGTTATGAGCATTTCGTTGAGGTTTGCTTACTTGAATGGATTGAAATATACTTTGTTACTTCTTAATTCTTCCTCTATGACAAAAATATTTAATTTTCTTAGTAAAAATAAAATACCCAAGGATTTGAACGGAATACCCAAGAACTCAAGACCAAGTCAAAATACCCAAGATTGGGTATACCCAAGCAGTGGTCACGCTGGGCTGAATGTTTGTAAGAAATGTACCAACCGTTAACGAAACCGGTCGCCGTCTACCTAGTGTAAATCGTGCCACAAACGAAGCTAAAGTTTTGTGACTTAATCCACCACCAAATGCAGATAAAGTTTTGCGACTTAATCACCTGGTTGTGGATTGTGTGGTTAGTAAATTTCATAGCCATACTGTCCATAGCGCACAATAAACTATGTGCTGTTGGAGCATTTTGGGGAAATTGACTCTCCTTTTTCCATCCCAAACAAAATATAATTAATAAATTAACATGGTCCATCTCTGTCATGCCAGTCACAAAATTAGGCCAGGAAGTTTGTTTTCAACAGCAGACACACACTACAGAACGGAGTGCGTCAAAACGAGTGTTTGTTAATTTTTAGTGATAAAGAACCATGAAACGTCCTAGAATAACTGACTTTTTTCCGTCCGCTGTTGCAAAGAAGAAAACGACAGATAGTCCTTTAAGGTGGGTTATTGATTTCAAAAGCAATTAGCCTATAGCCTAGATGTTGACTGCTAGGTTCGCTCCTCGTTCATTTAGAGACAGAATTATACCCCGACGACAACAAACTAGTGTAGGCCTAAGTACAGTAGGACGTAATAATAATAATAAAGATTTATAAAGGGCACATCTCCACCAAAGGTGCTCAAGGCGCTATTACTATACACCATGTATAGGTACTAGGCCTAGGCTTTTCTTGTAAAAGTTGAAGTGCATGTACAAAATGCGCCATAGGCCTATATTTAAAAAAAACCATTTTGTTAATTATTATTGGTTGGCCTGGGACCGGGGCAGGCAGGCCAGCTTTACCGTCGAAAGTCCTGGAATTCGACGATGACGTCAGTGCACGTTTACAAACGCCATTGATTAGAATGAAAATAGACGAGCTGAATTTCGTGTTTTTTATGAAAAATAGAATTTATCGAACATTTGTCTATATAAAAACAAGATTAATATTGTAGAAATTGTATTACTAAAGATGCATATAATTCATATTTCATTTGGCAGACAATAAATATTCAGGAAGATATAATAAAAACGATTATTACGGTAATTCTAAAATGTGCATCAAATCTCAGCTATTATTATTCAGTATGTAGCCTATTATGTTAAAGTCTTAAAATAATAATTTCGAATTAAGCCTAGTATATAACAAATAATTGTATTAAAGTTTAGGTTCTCATGATGTCAGATAACGTATTGAATATGATGCTTTATTTTGGGTTCGAACTTAATTTAACGATGGCCCTGTCAGTAGTAATGACAATATTGTGCTTTTTTTAGCCATGTAGTAAAATAGTACTATTATTTTCAGCGTACAAAATGAGAGTCAAGAAGAAGTAGTAGAAGAAGAAGAGAAAGAGGAAGATGAGGAAGAAGAAGAATAGCTTTTTTTTTTGTTTTATAATAATAAATGTGTTGAGTATATTGATATTGATTATGCGATGAGGGTTTTTTTTTATATATATCTTTCGGTGTTATTTAAACATGCCAATTCTCAGAAAATATTTTATTATATTACCACCTTTTTATTACATAGATCTTTTTCAAAACATAACTGCTTTTAAAACATTATATAGACCATTAAACACAAAAACTGCCCCGACCCCACCGTGGCCCTTAGGCAGGCCCCTGGACCCCACGCCCAGAGAACCCCCCTTGAAATGACCTGGCTACGGGCCTGAGACATTTCGCGTTTACTGAACAAATAAAATAATCTATGATTGGCATTTGGTCAAACATATTTGTGCTTTGATTCAACCTATAACCATTAATAATTTTAAATTATTATGCCGAAGGCAATTAGTGTTTCTCCCTCTCGATTTCATATGTTCTCTGAAAGGACCTATCAGATGCTCAATGCCTTCTCTGCCACTGCCTTCAATCAATTTTGTCTGTTGTTCTCGTGACTACGAATTTCAATTCTACTATTATTCGGTCATTGTGCATAATCATCATGCGTAAAACCTCAATACGCAAGGAAAATGATAATATGATAAAGATTTGAAATTAAATACCAATTATACAAACAATCAAATGCATTTCAGTGTTACTGCTTCATTGGATCGATAACATACGTAGCAAACTAGCACAAAGCTAACACATCATATCAGAACTGTTCAGTTGTTCAAGGTGTTAGGGTTCGCCCTGTGGATTCCACCAGGGCTAAACCTGGTCTCCGTCGAAAGCTGTCAGACATCTTGGCGGACAACTTAGACCCCACCCGTCTACAAATCCTGATGACAGTAAATTACCTGAATTGATCCTACTAATGATTTAACTCCAAATTAAACTGTCATTTCTGGGAGCTCGTCTCCTTTTCTAAGAGACGTCTCTGCTTGCGTCTCGGAGTTTAAGTTAAATTTATTGAGTCTCAATATATATTGATAGAAATATTTTTGTTTGTAGGTCCATCAACAGATAACAGACTGATTGGAAGGCAGTTGGAAATAGAGAGCAACAGAAGAGGAACAACACAGGTGAGTACAGCATGCTAAACCCATATTACAATCTTTTCAAGGTTTGGTTGTTTATACCCTTGGTTTGAAACCGACAAATATAAAGTGTATTTTGATATCTGGTAATTGATTATTAAAATTCTTTAAGTGAAAGTATATCATTAAGTTTCAAAGCTATTTCCAGATATTAGCCAACAGTCTCTAAAATATATATGTTTCATTCTGTTTTGCAGCCAGTGAATATTATTATCAACAGTTGCATAGTTGCAGTTTATTTTTTAATCCTAGTTTGTTTATTTTGTAAATAATATTTGAATTTAGCAGCATTTCCACTTTACAAGGTAATTACTCTAATTTATAACTTTCACAAGCTGAAAGAATGAAATACTATAATGAAAAGTAACAAAAAAAACAAAGCAATCGTTTCTGCATATCAATATACAATTACGAGCAGTAATACTTTTCAAAAGCATTGGTTTCGTGTAACTAGACCCGAAAAACTGACAACATTTAAAATATATATAAATATATATAAAATCACTTTATTTCGAAACAAAACAAAGGAAAACATACAAAGCCTAGGTCGTGACCTTATAAAGGAACACGCAAGGTAAACAGAAAAAAAACAGTTACAAAAGCAGGCCGGGTGACAAGTAAACAGAGACTTATAAAATACAAAAATACTCTGAATAATGTAACCTACGGGTAAAAATGAAGAGAAATATTCTGGGACTAATTTAGGTGCTCCAGCTAGCGTAACGAACGAGAACTAGGGAGGAGGTAAAAGCTAAAAATTCGCAGGAAGTGTCGGTTACAACATTTTAACTCAAAAGGGGCTGAAAATAATCAACACACGTATAAGTTAATGTTTACAATTTAGTAAAAATTAAGCATACAGGTTTTACTCAAAAGAATATTTTTTTGACCTTTTGACTTATTTTGTTCAAATAATAATTATTTTTACTCAATAACTTGTTCTAGGATTGTGGAGAAATATAAAAATACGAATACAATAATGCCATTTTAATGTTCATTAACGTTTGAAAATTGTAATGAGTAACCTATTAAAATGTATATAATTTTAATTATGGAAACAATATTTAACAAATATTGTTAAATATTTGTTAAATATGGTTTACATAATATTTAACAAATAGGCATATTAAAACAATATGTTTTTTACAACGATTTTTTAAATATTAAATTAACAGACACCACAGCTCCAAGAAGAGGTTGAAGGAAAAATGGCCAAGGATACGTTTATGGAAAAATACTCAGCAAAAATTAGAAAACGAGTTAATCATACACGGAATATGTGTCGCAAACATAAAAATATTCAAAAGATGAAAGAATATCCAACTCTTTTGGTGAATGAGGAACACAAACTTGTTTACTGTCAAACACCTAAAGTTGGTACAGTTAGCTGGTGCAAAATATTCCTACAACTTTCTGGATATAAGAACCGTTCGGAGCTAATGAATATGAATGTTATACAGGTGAGTGCAGCATGGAAAAAGCACGTACCGCGACTAAGTGATTTTCCAGCCGCAAAACAGAAGGAAATATTAGCAAACTACACCAAGATCATGTTTGTTCGGAACCCTTTAACACGCCTGCTATCAGCCTACAACGATAAGTTGGTCCTAAAGAGTTCAAGTGATAGACAACCTTATTACCAGAACACAGTCAACAAACGTATTTTAGCTTTTTTCAGAATAGGAGGGGGGAAAAAAAGAAATTATGCAACATTTAGAGAATTTGTTAGAATGTTAATTTCCAAACAGCACTACATTGCAGACGTCCATTGGAGCCCCATGCATTCTGTATGTTTTCCGTGTAGTATTGACTATGACGTTATTGGTCAACTTGAAGATATTGAAAATGAATCAAATTATATATTAAGACATGTTGGAGCTGATATAGAATTCCCTCATTCGACCGGAACTCATTTTACAAACAGTTCAAGTTATGAAAAGGTTATAAAAAGTTATGCTACAATTCCACGTTTCGATCTTCTGAATTTGTATCAGAAATATAAATATGATTTTTTGTTGTTTGATTATAATCAAAGTCTTGCAATGCTCTAAGGCAAAGATAATGCTCTAAGGCAAAGATAATAAATAGCAGGATATAGAGCACCTCCCCAATATAGTGGAACATCCGTTCAAAAGGCATTGTGGGTACACGGAGAGCAATTATACTGCAACCGCGCGGCGGCGCTATATAAAAATAATAAAGGCGCTGCTCTTGTTCGCTTGTCTCCTTTAGTTTCTCCATTTAGTAAAGTGTTCAAATTTTACTGCAACCGCAGGAGGGCGAATGTTCCATCGATTTTAATACGCGGAGCAGCTCATTCTTCTGCTATTTAAGTTCTTTGTCTAAGGTTATTAGGTTAATACACAATATATATAAGAAATATTATTTTTAAAAGTAAAAATAAAATAATAATAATAATAAACAAAAATGCAGAAAAGGCTTCTGCTCTCTGGAAATGGCAACACTTCCAACTCTCTGAGATAGATACGTGAGACTTGTATGATTATTATTACTTTACCATTATGTTATATCATAGTGTACTTGGATGGACGCCTATACCTTACGTAAAATATCTAGGATAATGTTTTATTGCATTATTTATGTTAAGTTTAACATTTAAATGATACGCTCTAAATTAGTGAGTGTTCAATATAATTCTCATTAACTGTTGAAGAAAAATTCAACCTTATGTCAGTTCCAACCACCGACCCATCCGTTCCTTCTCTCAACTGTCACACTATAACCATGTTATATGTTATTCTCTCTTCTGACACCCTTCGAAGGAAATTGAAGACGAATTGAATTTCTTTTTAAATGTAAACAGAGATGATTTTTTTGTTTGTGCATAGTAATTTCTGAGATAACATTTGTAAATTAATGAGAAGCATTTCACTTGCTCTGATGCACAAATTTATGTACAGTAATAGAATAGTGAAAGATGGTTTTAGAGTTTTAGAGTTAAGATCTGTGTACACTATGCGATAACGATCAACGATAAAAAGCAATTGTTTATATAGAAAATAAAAGAAATAATACGTTTTTACACTAGCACGTTTCGATAACGATTTATCGTGCATACGTTAAAGAATATTTTCACAAGTCAAATTAAATGACGTCATAGTCAGTGAAAACGATAAAAAAACGGTTTTACTACTACAATTTTATCGTTTTCACGTGATTATAACGTCATTTGATTTTTAAACAGCCCTTTAGAGTGTCAAATTAGAAAACAGAATGTATAGACTATTTCGAGGTGTGGGCCTAAATAGGACTACTAACATGTCAGGACAGTATGTTAATGTTTTGTACAGTCTACAGCCATATTTAATAATAATAATAATAATAAAAATATTTATTTGGACTATCCGAAATTCAAAACTTAAAGACAAATGATTACAAGATACATAAAATTACAAGAACAACTATTTATTGTTGTATATTTGTATTATAGTCTGGTCGATTTAGGTCAAAATTATGGAATACAGGAATTAAATTGTTAAAGCTTTTTTGGTATCAATCGATGTAGACGGATATCCTCTTTAACATGTAAAAACTCCTCTTCAATCCTCCTTGGGGGAAAAAAAAGTTATAGTCGTTTTACTGAAGCCCCCTATTTTCAGTTAAACTTCAATAATTTCTCACAGATAAGATAATACAACGAGTATAGACCTGCATATTTTGAGAAAAATGTTTGAAGGCTTGTAGCCAGGAATCCATATAAGGTATCTAGGAGAGCCAGGAGGAACGTAAAACCAAATGATGGGGTTCAGAGGAATGGGTACAATGGTGAGGGGAGTGCAAATGAATAAAGTCCAGCATGTAAATGGTAAATGTCATCGTGTTGATAGTATTTAATGCAAGTTGGTTTGGTTTGGTCAATCAGAGGGGGTTTGCTCAAAAGGAGGATTTGCAATGGCGTGGCGCTAAGTGTGATCAGGGTGGAGTAGTTTCCCCTACCCCCTGTCGGGAAGAAGAAAAACCTATGTAAGTTTTACAGAAAATGTAGCTCTGGAATCAATTAAATAAGTCTTTTAAATCCCTAAATAGTCGGAGTTTCAGCCGTTTCGCCTTACCCCTAAAGGGTTCAGTGGCGGATTCAAGGAGGCCCAGCCGGCCACCGCCCTTCAACACCCAACATAAATAATTCAACGTTTGAAAAATCCACATTATAAGTCTGAAAGTGCCATTTCCGGTCCGGCTAGAGGTACTGAATCAGCCCCATCAATCATGGTGGGGCTGGGTACGTGGTCTAGACTCTCCATCTGTGAAGTCCCACCCTGAATCTCCTTTATTTCAAATTCCCGGATCTGCCACTGGGGTTTTGGCTGCCAATGGCCCCGCCCACCATGGGCTTCCGCCAAGAAGATTAGCCTTTCCATCAGAGATATCCATAGGCGTAGATCCCGGGGGGATGGGGATATATTCCCCCCCCCCC